AAATAATATTTTATAGTAGAGCCCTGCCCTGCACGTACAGGTTAGGCCTTATCAAAGTTCGCCGGGAAAGATTTTCCTAGAATATTTTTTTTAAATAGACCCTAGGGATTCGTAAAAAAAAATCGTGCGAGAGGAATTTTGATCGAGTTTTAAAAAAATAGTATGAACCCGATTTTTACTCATCTAAGGTATATTTTTTTTTGATATCTATTATAATATAATTTTGTTTTTTTTTAAATTTAGTATATATGGGCTAAATTTTTATAATCGTTAATTGTTTTATATGACCTTGGTTTTAAATTCGTTTTTTAATAATAAACTCAATGAATAAATTTTTTTTTAGTTTTAACTGTAGAAATAAAAATACTAAAATGAATTAAATACATAATTAGATTTTTTGCAGAATATGTATATATTTTTTTCTATTACATGCCGATTTTTAAAAACGGCTAGCTCAATATTTTAGCCAGAAAAATATTGCCTAAGCCTCGAGATTTCAATAATATATGTCTATACCTTAGGTTCTTTCTATGAGCAAAATCTTCAGGCTTGCGTTATATTTTTCAAGATGAAGTATTGAGTTAGCCGTTTTTAAAAATCGGCTCAAAAACATGCCGTTTAACAACATTACATGGATGGTAAAAATATCTATAAATATCAGATCGGGTTTGAACGAATAAATCGGATCGGTGAAAGATATGTGTCTCGGCACAGCCCTTGGAAAAATATCCTAAATTGATTTTTAAAAAAATTTCGCAAAATGAATAAGATTACATCCATCCACGGTAAAGAAGAAAATACTTTTATGAATATTAAACCCATTCACCCATAACTTCATTGAAGAATATAATACAAGAATTCGGTTAGGCTATTTTATATATTTTTATAAAATTCAAACAGTTATTTAGATAAATACCGATAGCTGTTTCACAGCCCTTAGACAATACCCACCGCCTACTCCGGGGAAGGAGTATCATGCGCAAGATCGGCACTGAAATTGGATGGGGGTAGATAATATACACGATATCATCTGTTATATAAAATTAGAGGAGTGAAGAGGTAGTTTTGATTTAGATTTCTTTTTTGTTAATTTCGATATTTTGAACCATTGGCAGAAATATCCTGAATAAAATGACCCTAATTAGAAAAAAATTAAATGGCGTAGAATTGAACTAATTTCAAAAAATTGCCTCTTTTTAAGCAGTTTCAAAAATTTCAAAATTGGGTTCTTTTTTCTATGTACTTTTATCGGTGGGTATTTTGGGCTTTGATTCATGACATTTTTTCCGTTATTCAAGAGAGGGGAGTTTTAAAATGGAATATCGTCATTATGCTCTTTAACATCGCTTAATTAAAGAAAGTAAGTAAGAAATTTCCCCTTGGCAAATTTTCTAGTTTTTGTTAATACCACTTTAAGCTAATAAAAAATTATCCCTACACTCCCCGACCCCTCTTTCCTGGAAAAATGAATATAATATGTCATAAAAAATATTTTTTAAAAAACCAAAATTATATTTAAAAAAATGTAATTCCGCCACAGTCAAAGACGGGATCTAAAAATATGACAGGAAGGCCCTTGGCAAAAATATCAAAAGAAATGTGCTTAAATGCCTAAAAGGGGTCATTTTGAAATGTTCATCTTTTATGTTTAAAATATTTTTTTGAAAATTATTTTTGTCTAGCGTCTTTTTGTTTAGGATATTTTTTCCTTGATTCAAAAAAATTATGGTTTTCAAAAAGTGTCTGCGGCCTAGTAGTTTGTAATTGCATATATCAACTACCGTATAGATTTTAATTTGAATCCTGAAAGGTTCCTGTTTTTTTTAGAAGCTAACTAGGTAGTTGTGTAAATATATTAGTATTGTTAAAAAGCCCGATTTGGGCTATTTTTTAAAAACGGCCTGATTAAGATCTTAGTCAAAAATATTATTATGCAAACCTGATTGCCAAATTTAAAGGTTTACATAATATAATTTTGGCTAAAATCCTAATCGGGCCGTTTTTAAAAATCGACCCAAATCGGGGTTTTTAACAACACTAATGTGGAGGATATACAAAATGTTGAAAACGTGATTCCGTTATATTAATATAAAAATGAGTCATATTTCATTTTAATAAAATTTGGTCATTTAGAATATTGCTATATGATGCTCAACGCTATATAGCCCCTCTACCTCCCCCTTCCAAGCCATTACAGTGACTCGTACATGAAGATAATAAAAATTTTATTAATTTGAAGGGAGTTAAATACAAAATTTAAAAAAAACATTCTCATTTGCTTTTACAATTTTCGCATATTTGCAATGAATACATACATGTATGGAATAAAGGAAAGAAACAATTATTTATATAAGTCATTATTTTTTTTCAAATACAACCTTTAAATTTTTTGAGACATTAACAGGGATCGGAGCTGCTGTTAAGTATAAAGGATCCGGTTCGGTTCAGAGACAATATAAATGTTTCGGTTTAGTCGCTTAAAATTATAAATGTTTTTAGGTTCGGTTAAGGTTTTAAAAAATTAAAAAGGTTTTTTAAGGTTTTATAATATTTATTTATATTAAGAAAAATTTAATAAAATATTAGATTAGCGGGAAAATTCGAAAAATTTCAAATTTAAGATTAATTAATAACTTTCCAGAGAGAAGTAAAATGTGCTTTACTATATATTATGATCTAAGTTTTAATTTATAAATATTAAATCCGTTCGAAAATATTAAAAAGGTTCGGTTCGCTCCTTACAGTTATTTGGTATAAAGGTTCGGTTATGGTTCAGAAAATTATAAAAGTGAATTCAGGTATAACCGAGCTCTCTCCCAATCCATATGACATAAAAAAAAGTATAAAGAGAATTTTTATCAAAGGGCGATCATGCCTGCCGGCAGTTCATATTTCATATAATATGATTATTTAGGTTTGAAATCAAAAAGAAATGAGATAAATTCAATTATATAATATCAAATAGGAAATATCTAGTTACAAAAAGATGTAATTTTTTTTTAAAAAAAGAGAAAAGAGATCAATCATTTATAAATATTTCAAATTAAGATGAATGTTCTTGTAACCCACCCTACCCACATTCGTAATAAAAATAACAAAACATTTCAAATAAAATCAAAATTTTTTATTGTTTATATTTTAAAAAACCAAAATTTCCTTCTCCCCTAGAAAGGAGTGTCAAATTTTTTTACATAAAATTGTAATAAATCATTTTTCGTTAATATATATTTATAACTTTTCTTAAGGCAATTTATGATAAATAATTTTTTGGCTTTATTTATCAATTCAACACACAATAAAGCACATAATTTGCATTTTATCATCTAAAGTGGTTGGAATTTATTCATTAAAGTGTCGTATTTGGAGATGGGTTTTATGGGAGATAAACTATTTACAGAAAGAGATTTTTAAACTTTAAAAAACTGATTTGACGTTAATTGTCTTCCTAAGAACGTGTTTACTTTCTCTATCAATATTAGACATTTTCGCCATGAACTTTTGACTCTAAAAAATCGATATGAATTCTCAAAGGTTCGCAACATAATTGTCTGAGATTCATTGGATACATTTTCTGTCAAATCAGAATTTATTAAAGTAAAAAATCTTCTCCAAATAATTTAAAATTGAGATTTTGAATCCTCATGGATTCCAATACTATTTATGTAATATTAAATTAAACATTATTCTAATAAGCTGCCTAATTTGGGAAAGTTTTGTGGGTTTGCTTATTAGGCTAGGCCAATTAAAAGGTTATCAGATTCGTTTCAAATAATCTGATTTGAATCGAGTAACAACAAGTACGAAATCGACTATTTGCTATTGTCAAATACCAATAAGCAATTGAATAATTGTATCAATCAATTTTTTTTTAAAATACAAGTTTTTATTTCTCATCTTTAAACATTTCAAGTCAGATTATATTTATATTCTCGACATATTTGATGGGATGCATAAGGCTTATTTTCATTAATAAAATTTCAAAATATTGCATAATTTGTTGTAAAAAAAATAAAAATAACGAAATTATCTTTATTAAAAACATAGGGCGGGAAGCGTGGTTTTCAGCTAAAATCCATATATTGAAAATATCTAATTTGTAATATTACCCATTTTTAGAACCACGGCCGACCGGTCGTTTAAGTACAGTGACCTTCACTAGGTATATTAAAATCAGCCCCTGCTCACATTATAGATTTTGCACTTGTACTGCAAAAAACAAATACATAGTAAATTTTGTTAATTCGCATCTCAACAAAATTCAAGAAAAAAAAATGCAAGGCATTATTTACAAATATTAAATAGCTTATTGGTTATTCTTAAATAATGAAAATGATGCATATTTTAGTTTCTCAAAATAACAAGTACATTCTCAAAAAAAATAAAATTATTTAAAAAAGAAAAATAAATAAGAAATAAGCTAAACAAAAAAATTTCATATTTATTTTAGACAACCATTTTTATTTATTACATAATATGTTGGATAAATAAATATCATTCATTGATTTTTCTTTCTTTCTAATATCGCTTTCATTTTTTTTAAATAAAATATACCAAAAATAAAACCAAGCAGAATAAATAATATACACGAAACAAGATGGTAATAATAATCATGTGGGAGGAGATTTTTTTATAGTCTTTTAATCATGTTTCATCTTCAATTCCTTAAAGTTTGATCATTTATCAAATTCAAAATTGTTTTATTTATAATACAATGTTTTTTTTTTAAAAAAAAGAATATTATAATTTATATGTATATGATATAGCAAGCAACAAAGCAAAAAAAGGCTTTTTGAAGTTTTTTTATAATTAATGGTTGCTTTTATTCTCCCTCTTAAAAAATGATGGTACATAATTAAAATTATGTTATATTACCATTTTATATATTCTAATTTTTGAAAATTGTTTTATCAATTCGATATGCATAATTAATCATGTTCTAAATATTAAAAAATACCAGATTCGTGTTAAAATATCGTTAATTAATATTCTATAAAAATGACCTGAATTTGACGAAGAATGAACCCTTTTCATCCAGGGATATATCACGTGCTGTTTAACTTTTGACGATAACTCTTTCGGTTCGCCACTGACCTGAGATGCTTTAATTTTGTGCGGTTTACGGGTTTTATCACCGTTTAATAGACCAAATTTATCGTATTCGATATGCTTTAAATTAAAAAATTCGGGACTCAAATCGTCGTGAGATTTATGGGAATTTGAGCCCTTCTCGAGATGATTCATTAAAATATGATTATTTGCGGTATTAATATGAGTACAATTAACTTTGTTGAATGATCTGTGAGTCTTGTAACGAGATTTAGTAGAATAATCCTGAGTGTGCATCGTACACATTTTAATAGACTCGTTCGAATGGGAAGATTCTTGCATTAAATCTTCACTTTTATATATGGTATCAAGATTTAGAGGTGGATTAAAATATTCGATACCACTTTTGAAGATTTCTTTTCCGTAAATTTCTTGAGATTCAAATTGAGATGGAATTTGTGAAAAGGATTTAGCTGTAACCATGTTATAAGCGGCGGCGGCATTCAAAAAAAAACTGTTAAATTTTGGTTTATAATTAGCAGAATTATAATATTCTAACTGTGTATTAATTAGTTGCTGTGAGATAGGATATGGCTTGTCTATCATATTAAAATGGTCATTTTTGTAATCGTGAAGGGGGTTTAAGCTTAGAACGGAATTATTGAACGAATCAGAATAAGAATTGGTCGTAAATAAATCCATATTTTGATCAAAGTTTGGTGTGTTATTGTTGATTAAACCATCAGATTGATGAGTAATTATGTTCCTAAGATGATTTTTAAGATCGACATAACTTGGACTCACTGTATTTAGGTTTTCATGCTTATATTGATTGCCTTTGTCAACTGAAGTTTCAATTAATAGCATATCATTTTCATCAGGGGAATTATTTATATGGAAGATTTCTTTTTCAGTCTTTATAACTTGAATGTTGAATTGATTGGTCTCATTATGACCATCAATAACATCGTTATAATTTATGCTCCTTTGAGAATTATGATTAGAATCTGAGTTGTCGGATAAATTATCATTTGCTTTGTGGTAACACATAGCGTCATTTTGATTAATAGAATATGTAAAAATATCTGGACACATTTTACTTGTATTTGATTCATTATAATTGATAATTGAACATGCTGATATAGTTGAAGCCTGAAGCATGAATTGAGAAAATATAATACTTTGGTTTGTTTTCCTTTTTTTCTTAATAATTAATTACTATTATATAAAAATAAATGAACTTTAATTCAAAAAATAATAAATTGTTTATAAATAATTTCTCTCTATTCACTTCATAAAAAAATAACGTTAATTTAAAAAAAATCCTTCAACCATTCCCTTTTTGAATTATAATTTTCGTTCAAAAAAAATTGCTATTTATTTGTTAAGGTTATTTATATTTTTCATTTTGTTTTATTTTATTTTACATACAAATATGTTTAAAAAAATATAATAAAGACAACATGTCACTTATTATTACGTTGCAACGCAATCGCGTATTGAAATTATTCATTTATGATTGAAGGCTCTTAAGTATAACTGAAATGCGGTCTATTTTTTTAAAATATTAACAATTTATTATTAAAATTTTAATACTATAATTTATATAAGTTCTGTGAATTAATTAAAATACTAAATACATTTCAGATTTGAAATCGCATTTATTTTTAGTTATTGACAGGCATAACTGAAAAAATGTGGGGATGCTTTTTGGGTCTCTTTCCTTTCAATTTATTTGAGGGCCTCATTTTTTTTGAAAGTTTTTATTTCAGCTGGATTAGAATTTTTTTATTTTTTCTTAAAAAAGCATTTTTCTGATAAATTTTAATAACCATTATTTTAAAAAAATTATTTTTTTTATTTATTATACATACTTTTATAACAAAAATATTGTCTATAAATTATAATGACATTTTTCATTTTTGAGAGAGGAGGGTGATGGAGAGATAAAAACTTTCAAATTTGACAAGGAAGAGGGAAAACCCCCATAGCTACTCTTAGGGTCTAGGATCAAAATAATTTACGTTGATTATGTATTATGTGATTTATAATTAAATCAGCATAATTTATAAATGGGAATTAATCATTTTCGGCCTAATTTATTGAATTTTTGAAGGTGGTTTTCCTATCAAACTTAAAGATACAAATTGGAATCATGGAGATTTATTTCTTCGTTTTACTAATTAAATAAACCCTAATTCACTAAACATGGGTCTTTTAGAAACATGATAAGATTTTCTAAAATTTTGATCTTAACTATTTCCTACCGCCCATATGGAGCTTTTAAAATATATACGCATTTTTATTATTTAAAATGGCGATTTTTTTTTAAGTTAAATAGTTTTAAAGAATAAAAATAATTTCCGGATATATTAGACCCATGTTAGTTATAAAATTATCATAATCTTTTTATCGAAATTCTATTGAGGTCAATTGTGATTAATTTTCTATTTGTGATACTAAATCTTTTTTAGAATTTGATATAAAGGAGGATGATTTTAGCTCTGTAAATTAATATATTTCCCCTTTGATTATAACCTTGCCCCGAAATAGGAAAATAAAAAATGGCCATATTTGCCATAGAGGTGGTCATTCTACTTTTGAGAAAGATTTCATCGAAATGTAATTAATCTGATACAATTCAAGGCCTAAAAGGAGAATTTAAAGGGGAAATCGCATTAGCTAGCTATAGTTGTCCTTATAGTTAACAACCCATGATGGATTGTTCTATGATAGAATTCTGCTCAGAATAACTCATGATTTAACCGAGATTGCGTAGATAGCCCAAATTTGTTCCGTTATATGCAGGGACGTAATGGGGGGGGCACGCATGAGCACTTAAGGGTGTTTTAGCATACCTCCCCAGAAATTTTCAGAAAAGTAGGGAGCAGGGGTCGGGCCTCTTCCAAAAAATATGATTTTTTTTATAATCATATTTTTAAATATTAATATCTTTTATTAAATACACATAAAATATTTTATAAACAAAATGGTATAATATTAAATGTAATTGAACATTTTTAATTCAACTAACATTTTCCCTTTGGTCCTTTAAAAAGAATATGCAATAGAAATATAGTGATATCATTGTATTTACCCACAAAGCTGATGAAAAAAACTTTGGAACCAAAAAAAATACTGCCAGTGATTGCATTAAAAATGGTTAATCGCATTGATAAACAAACAACCATGGTAATATTTAATATTGCATATTTAATTACTAAAGTTAATTACGCATTTGTAGATAAGAGAAGAGCACAATGGTTTAGATAAGGAACATTATTCTAGGTATTCTGCTTTGCTAATAATTGTAAGTATTTCCAAAGAAATGTTTATAAACTAATGTAAATAATATTTAAAATCCAAAATATAATCTTAGTAGATGTATCTATAACATTGCCAAATAATCAAAAGGTGGTTATTTATGTAAAATTGCTATTGGGATATACTCTTTTGATAAACTTGTTAAATATCTAGACCTAACATGTGTAACACTTTGAAGCCTTTATTGACACATACAATAAATAGTTTATATAGTCGGTCTAAAAAAAATCAAAAGTGTTGGATCAAATAGCATAATTGAACATGTTGCTGAAGATTGCAATGGTACGTATTTGATGCACGATTATCTAGCAGTCTCCATACTTTTAAGGCAGTTTGGAATAACTATGAGGGCTGGGATATGCATAAATTCAGGAAATCACTGGTTATAAGGAGGAGCAAATAAAACGACTTTGTTCCCGACTGAAGCTGGATTTGTATCTTACAATAAATATGATAAGGGAATATATTTGATTAAATATAAGTAATAAGCGCCCCCCCCTCTTGATTTGAAATATTTTTAAAATTAACACAATTACAGCCCGATGTGACAGTTTTCACCTTATGAATTCCATTCTGACGAATTTGCCTGCAAATCTTATGATTAAACCTAATTTTCAATAATTATAATTTGTCTCCTCTCAGTCATACGTTTCCTTGTTTGGCTATCGTATATAGGTCTGTGACTTGTTAGCTAATTTTTAATATATGGATAAATATTATTATATCTCAGAGTTGTTAAAAGATACTTTTTAACTGAATCTAGATACAGATACATCGTCTAAAATAATATCTAGATACAGATATTTTAATCAAAAATCTATCTAGATATACAGACACCACATTTTTATATCTAGAGTATCTAGATCCTTTAACAAATCTGTTAAATATATTGAATCTATGCGAATATTGTAATTTTTTTTCAATTTTTCTTTATGCATTATATTACAGTAATATCATTATTTTTATATAATTATAAAATACATTCTAAAAAATTACCTCATTTTTTATGCAAAATATATATTTTGGGCAATATACTTTAATTTTATATAACTTTCTAAGTGTAATAATATAGATTATGTATTTTATATGAAATTTAAAAAATATATTAAAAAAATTTGTGCCCCTACCATTTTTTTTAGAGAATAGCGTGCCCAAGCCGCAAATTTTATGACTAAACACTGCTGATATGGGTGCCAGGAAAAAATATAGGTAGAGCTTATGAGCCTTTTTTGTAATAATAAATAAAACCAAATTCTCATAATTTAAAAAGAGATTAGCTATAAAAACGCTCCAAATCCAATTTCATGATATGATTTTGGCTTAATTCTATCTGAAAAATTGCGTAATTTTGGTTAAACTATATCGAAAGTTACATAACTTGGAAGTGAGATATTCCTTTTATAATCGAAAATAACCATGCAAGGCAATGGATTATAATAAATTTCATTCACAATTATCAAGTTTTCCGGTTTAAGACAGGCATATGATTACAATTTCCCGTAATCTATGCCAAAACCTTCTATTTAAAAAGCATAAAACATTTTGTTTTGCGATAACTTTAAATCTAATTATTTTCTTGAAAATTAATAAATGAAATATGGGTCGATTTTAGCCAAAAAAATTTACGTTAGCCTGGAGATTTCGCTTATATATGGCAGAAAGGTTTAGACATCTATTTACCAAATCTCGAGGCTTACATATAATATTATTTTGGCTAAAATCTTAATCGAGCCATTATAACACTAGGTCTTTTAGACCCATATTAGGTAATTATTGAAACATAATAAGATTCGTGAATTAGGGTTAAATGCTATAATATCAGGTAGTGGCAAACAAAGGCCCCCAAGGGTAAAATTTGATCTTTATAATATTTTATATTGATATCTTGAAAAAATTGCTTTCAAAACTTCTCTTTTCTACTTCTTTTATAATAAACAATACTGAATCCCGGACATAAAAGTCCATGACAAAAACCAGGATAAAAATAGCCCAATTTTAATAAATTTTTAAAATTAGAAAGGGAAATTCTTTAAAAAAAATTATATTTTACACGGCTCTAAGTATCTGTTGGATTTTACTGAATGTAGTGGGTTTGGGGATATAATAAAATTAGTATTTTTCGTCATCTAATGTAAATATGACATATATTTTTGCTGCTTAGGGTCTAAGCTAACCGCTAACATGGTCCGAGCTCGGTCTTAGGCTTTAGTTTGAACCGCGCTGTTCACGCGAAGTAGTCAATTTCTTTTAAAGTTTATCAAATATAGTGGGTTTAGTATCTAATAAAATTAAGTAGGTTTTGCCGTGATCGAGGGGCAATACATTTAGTCAATATTTAAACATTTCCCCAATAACTCCCATATGTGCATAAATTTTTATAAAAATTTGTGTAAAATGCATAGCGTCAGCCTATTAACATTAATTAATTATATTTTAGTGAAGAATAAAACATATATGTTGAAGAAATCATTAATATTTTTAAAACTTCCCTTTTTTTGTATACATTTAAAAAATTAAGAAAATTTGGATATTTTTATCCTATGCCATTTTAAATACCTTTGCCTGGGTCTTTATTCGAGAACACGTCTGACAGATTACCGACAATACTATAGGCACATTTCATTTTTGAATATAATTTTAAAAAAATTGAAAAATGACGAAATTTTTCCTAAAAACGCTTTAATTAATATGGGAAATAAGATCTACGTTTGACATTATTTATTTTCCAAGTAGCACACTAGTTGTATAATATATTACATTATTAAACAATCGTTCCAGCATAACCCTTGAATATCCGAATCGAATGCTAATATGGAAAGTATATTATATCGAAAAATATTTTTTCAATTTAAAATTGATCATATTATTTGTATTCGAAATTATTTCGTGAATATTCGAAATAATTGATAAATATTTGAAATTATTCATACATTTACATGTTCCTTGCGGATTTATTTTTTAACGTTTTTTACACATATGTAAATCACTTTTTTATAAATGTTATTTTTTTATTTGAAAATATTTTTAAGGAACTTAATATTTTCGAATGG